GATACTAATAGAGAAAACGGAAGCTCCTATTCCATACGTTTATAGAAGACGTTTCGGCCGCTCCATGAAGGCGCAAGCTCCTACTAAGGGAAAGTAAAATATTTAGTATCACCGGATCGCTTCTTACAAATCCGCTTTGTCTAGAGAACCCGACAAACAGCCCTCCAACTTAGGAGTTCTAAGACGACCGTGTAGATTTTATTCATTTGAAGTTTTTCTACCCTGTGTTCCTGCTGAAAACAGGACCCAAGGTGACTCACAGCATTAAAAGACAATATTTATAAGTTAAAATCAGCAATCAACCCAAAAATTTGTATAACATCGTTATTCCTATCCTGATTATTCCTAACGAAAACATCCAGTTTTGTGTAGTGGAGAGAGTACGTTAAGAAATCAGGAAGCCCGGGCTGAAATACTCGTCGAGACGAGTAACATCACAGAGCATTAAATTAAGCATCCTGCTCTTGGATGAAAATTGGTATCATTCAGTTTGAAACCTACTAGTTACGTTTCTTGCATACAATTTTTTCACCCAGAACACACAGGGAGGAGTGGCTGTCATTTTGTCTTTGTTAAGTACATACCTATAACAGACAAATCCACTCTTTTATTTTCGTGTTTGGGAATGTCTTTTAGTTTTTTGTTTGTTTGTTTTTGCCACACCCAATGAAACAGGTTTGTGGGGGAAAGAACATTCCTTAGGGAACATTAGATTCCCTGAAATAAAGCCAACGTTGCATAAGTCGTTGTTTTGTCTGGTGTTTTTTTTAACGCACACTTACAATGGCCAAATTAGAAATTCCAAGTTCCCGATTTATTGAGTAGATTTGAACACCGCAGGTGAAGAAAACTAAGATTGACCAGTGCATGATGTTTCATCAGAGAAGCCAAAATCGGAGGACAGTATTTTTAGGCAGCACTATTTTTATTTAAAATGCATATTAATTTTGTTGCACGTTCATTGAATTTTGCGGTTGAGTCATTCTAGCAGCCTGTAATCATGTAAGAGGAAATCTTTTAAACGAAGATGCAGCTTAACAGTCTCAGCAACAGATAGGCAAGAAGAGGAAAACATTAACCCCTGGAAATTACTGAGCCGAAACCTCTGCAGAGCACAAGATCCATTAAAAAGGGGGGTGTTTGGCTATTTGAA